CTAGACGCAGTTAGACAGATCTAGATACCTACAACTAGCTAGCTTGCTAGCTAGCTAGATAAAGCTAGTTACAGCTAGCTAGCTACAGCTAGCTAGCTAGCGAGCTAGCTAGCTGGCTAGCTAGCTGGCTAGCTAGCTAGCTAGCTAGCCACCGTGTTGCCGGTGTGATGACCGCTAAAAGATTTTATTTTCATTGGCTGTTGGAGCCGCTGAACCTCTTTTATTTATTTCTTGTTTTTATTTCTTCTTTATTTGCTTTTCTATTCGTTTCTCTTTCTTGTTTTTATTTGTTTATTTTTTTTATTTTGTCGTTTATTTATTTTTTTATTTTTTTTATTTTGTTGTTTATTTGTTTGTTTCTACTTTTTGTTTCATTTGCTAACGGTTACTGTGGCTAGCTACAACTCCGTATAGCCGTAGCTAGCTACACCCATCCAAAACTATATATATATATATATATATATATANTATATATATATATATATATATATATATATATATATATATATATATATATTTATATATATATATATATATTTATATATATTTGTATATGTTTTAAGTATATAAGTAGTATAGACAAGAATAAAGAGAAGTTATAAACCCCGGGCGTGTTTTGTTTTATTTATTTTTGGGGTTTTGTTGGGGTGTACATACACCTCAACACAATATAATAAACAAAACAAAAACAAATAAATAAATTTTACTATAATACAAACCAAAACCCTAAACCCTAAACCCTAAACCCTAAACCCTCAAAAAAGCAAAACCCTCAACTCAAGGCAGAGTACAGCGGCCTCCCAGTTCGGCTGTTTCGTCAACCCTGCACTAAACCCTAAACCCTAAACCCTAAACCCTAAACCCTAAACCCTAAACCCTAAACTTTTTAGAGGACTTCAACTCTTCCTTCATGCCAATGAGCGACGATAGAAAGACAGAACCGAGCCATCTTTACATCTAGGTGTTTCTGCATGCACAACAAACCCTAAACCCTAAACCCTAAACCCTAAACCCTCAGCAGAGAACTGTATATAAACCCCTTGTTTGTCTCTGGTGTTTTTTATATTTTCTCTATTCTATATGCTGCTACATACGCACCAGCAGCTGCGCCTGCTCAACGCTTATGGGGGACCCTTCCTTGCAGACAGTGTGCCGGCCAAGCAGGTTTATCTTTCCGTCCTGAGCAGCAGCAGCAGCAGCAACAGCAGCAGCAGCAGCAGCAGCAACAGCAGCAGCAGCAGCAACAGTAGTAGCGGTGGTGGTGGTGGTGAGAACAAACGCAACAGAACCGCAGCAGCAGCAGTGTTATCGTCAAACACCAGACAAAAGCATACAAGAGCAGCACCACACGAAACAGAAACAGCAGCAGCAGCAGCAGCAGCAGCAACAGCAGCAGCAGCAGCAACAACGAGAAGTAGCGACTGTTTGTGGAGCTGTTGTTGATGACAGCACCACCGAGCTACCTCTGCAGCAATTATTTATTTATTTATTTATTTAATTTATTTATTTATTTATTTATTTATTTATTTATTTATTTATTTATGCATTTATTTATTTATTTATTTACTTTCGTTTACCTGCAGTCTGGTTGGGAGGCCCAAGGACCGCAGCCGTTGCTCCATAGAATGAGGAAAGCGTTCTAGTGCTTCAAACCCAGCCTACAGAAAAGAAAAATAAAATAAAATAAAATAAAATAAAATAAAATAAAAAACAATAAATAAAGACAATAAATTTAAATAAATTAATATGAAACCGCCGAAAATATAGAGCATATAGAGGTGCCTATACACCTGAACATATGCTGGGGTGTATAGGCACCTCAAGAACGATGGTTTTTGTCGCTATAAATCCCGCTTTTGCATATTCATCTCCTTGAACTTTCTCCAGTATTTGTTTTATTTCTTTTAATTCTTTTTTTGTAATTAAAATGCCTCTCTCTCCCCGCAAAAGCTTCGATATTTTATACACATTTTCTGCACACTCTGTTGATGGCTGCGTACCCAGAGCCACCTGCAGCACTTTGTTCTTGCCATAGAACAACCT